CCCCAAAACCCCAAAACCCCAAAACCCCAAAACCCCAAAACCCCACTTTTTCGGTAAAATATTGAAACTTATTATATATAAATTACACTAAATATCAAGTCAGTAATCATCATCGCTATCTTCCTGGCGAAAATTCTCAACTTCAGAGCCATTTAACAATCCAGAAGACATATTCTTCCCATTTTCACTCTTGCTTTCCTCATCGCTATTTTTCTGATTCACTGCTTGTCTCCTTTCTTCAGTTTTTAATCCTCCAACTTTTCCTACTTCAAATCAATCTAAATCCCCAAAATTAACTTCAAAAATCTCGAATTTCAAAAATTCAAAAACCTCAGATATCTCCTCACAAAACTAAAGCCTCCCATTGGCTTCAAATTGACCTTAAAACAACCCTGAACCTCTCTTCAAGAATTTATTTGCTATAGTCATTAAGAAATCTCAAAATTTATAAACAAAAATACTTATCTTAAAGGAAAGTTAGTACTTGTTCTGGACCTTAAGAAAATTTATAAGTTGCTATCGGCTGGCTTACCTTCAGAGAACTCTTGCTCATCTGAAGAAGGCACGCGATTTTTATCAAAATCCTTCTTCTCACGCTTCTTTATACTAGAAATATCCTTATCGAACTTAGCTTTCCTTCTTTCATCAGCATCTTTTGATAATTTCTGGGATTCCCTCTTTTTATTTTTAGCAGCTGGCTTTGGCTTTGCCTTCATCTTCGGAAGTTCTTTGATCACTGCTTTTGGCTTCGGCTTGTTATTAGGGTCGATGAAGATATTTGTCATGAACACTTTGTGTTTGTGGTTTGTGATGCGTTTGAAGTTAGCGTCGTTGTTAGGGAATATGTAGGTTGCAACACCAGAGGAGAGATGAGAGTAGTCAAGTTTCACCATCTGTTCCTTCAGAATTCCTAAGCCAACCAATCTCAAACAGATACGACGAACCATGTGTTGATCAAGAGACTTAAGCCTTCCATAAAAATCTCTTTTAAGGTCACAAAACTTATTGATTTTCTTACAAGGCCTTCCTGTGAGTGCTTCGGCGAGCTGGATGACTGTCCACTGACAATGTCTGCCATTCTGAGAACACCGTGAGACAAAATATGCGATTGTCTTAGCTTCTTGGGTGTAATCTTCTTCAACAATCCTCCCTCCTGATTTACTAACTCTCTGTCAGTTATCACAGGTATTCTGTCAATCCTTTTTCTTGAACTTCTCTCCTAAATGTTGCAGCTGCATTTTTCTTCTTCAGAGGTAAGGTTCTTCACAGTAGTTTACGATGGAATATAGTGACTTCAGGTTTGTCTCTCTGAAATCATCGTTCGATGTCTTGGCCATATGGCATTCCTGCTTTCGTCGGTCAGAGTATGAATAGTAAAGCATTCAGTGAGCTGGCTTCTGGTCTCGACCTGCTCTTCCTCATTCCTGCATGTAGTTTTCAAGAGATTTAGGAAGCTTGTAGTGGATAACAAACCGAACGTTGTTCTTGTTGATGCCCATTCCAAAGGCGATTGTTGCGACGATTACCTTGATTTCATCTTCCATCCACATACTTTGAACGGACTTTCTATCCTTCTCGGACATGTTAGAGTGATAAGGGGCGCAAGCAACTTTGTGCTCTTGGTATAGTTTCACAGCTAGTTCATCACACTCCTTCCGTGTGGCTCAGTAAATGATTCCTGACTGATCTTTAAATTTAGAATTTAGCAGTTTTAGAATATCTTTTATGATATCTTTGCATCATTTCACATGCTTAACTTCATAATACAAGTTAGGCCGATTGGAGGAGCTCTTGATCTTGACTGTGTTGGCAGACATATTCAGTTGCTCTATTATTTCATCACTAACTTTCTTGGTAGCAACAGCAGTTAGAGCAAGAATGGGCACTTCTTCAAATCTTCTTCGGATTTTCTTCAGACCAAGGTAATCCCTTCTGAAATCGTTTCCCCATTGGACGACTCAATGAGCTTCGTCTATGACGAATCTCTGAATGAGTCTTTGCATGTATAGATGGTCGAGTGTATCGAGGAGTTCAAAGCAGTTCACTAATTTTTCAGGAGTAATATAGATCAGCTTTTGGTCTCCAAGATTATTAGATCCAAGATCCTTTAGGAACTTCTGGTGACCTTTAGACCCAGAGAAAAAGAAACATTTTACTCCAATTTTCTTCATTGCTTGCATTTGGTCTTCGATTAGACTTAGTAGAGGCATTACAACAATGGTGAAACCTTTCTCTGTCAACCCTGGGAGCTGAAAAGTGAGACTTTTACCACCACCAGTCGGGATAAGACCAATGACATCTCTTCTGGCCTTGGTAGCATTAATGATTTCTTTTTGACATGGAAGGAAACTGTCATTCTTAAAGACTTTCTTATTAGTATCTATAATATCTTGATTCCATCTGAAGTCTCTCTTCCATTTCTCAAGGTTTGAGTCAGGCAAGTCACTATGTTCCAGATGGTAATCCACTGTCTCGTCATTCCAGTCTTCATGGACTTCAAGATTTGCAGTATACTGTTGATGGATATTTTCTTCATACTGTTTCTTTTCCTTAAGAAATTTTGATACTTTTTGGTACTCTTCGTTGTCTTCAGTATCTGAGATAATGTCAACCTCCTCCTGATCTTTGACAGGGGTCACACTAGTGGACTTTTGTGGGCTTTGGGAAGACCTGCTGATAGAATCCCTAGCCTTTTGGATGACAAGTTGGATCTCTCCTTCTTCATCTGATAAATCTTGGTCTAACTCTTGTTGGAGGAATTCAGGATCTAAGACAAACTCTTTGCTATCATTATCGTTTATGGTAGAGTTCATGCTGATTTTTACCTATTAGAGCTGAGATAATCTTTGCTTACCACATCTTCTTTAGTCTCATTTGGGTTATCTTCGAATAGCTTCTGGTCTGCAGTAGTCACTTCTTCAAGATTCCCCAACTCCTTCAAAATTTCACTAAGGTTGGTTTCCATTGCCAAATTTTGGTTTGAACCAGGCTCTCCCCTGCTAATTTTAGTTGCTTAATTATACTAATTTTTTTCAATATTTCTTAACAAAACTGGGGTTTTGGGGTTTTGGGGTTTTGGGG